ATTTCTTTTCTTTTCTAGTTTTCGTTTTCTTAGGAATACGTGCAGTGGCCCTAAGGGCCGTTACTCACCACATACACAAAAGACAAAACATATGGCGGTGTATTATTCCACATTCTGCGGTAGATACTTTTCTAAGTTTGCAAATTTGCACATTACGTCGAGTAGTGCAGCCAAGCCCTGAGAATCACGTGCAGACTCTGCAGACCAACACTGCCTAGCTACGTGAGCAACCCATAACTGCTGAAACACACACCTGAACTTCAATCCTGAGGATATGTTGGGCCAACTAGTGCTCTACTTCATACTCACTACCGGCCTCGATTTTGATGGAGGGTCTGCAGTTTAGTGCTGTGAGGACCCTCCAGATTGCCTGCATGGGCCGTTTGAGCCGTGCTAATGGGATCTGCTCTCTCTCTCTCTCTCTCTCTCTCTCTCTCTCCTCCCCCGGTGTACACATACACCCCTAACAATAAAAAAAATAAAAAATAAAAAATTGAGCGCATCAAAATTTGCGCCTGGCGCATGCGCACCGCACGGCGCACCGCAGAAGTGTGCCGCAAGTATGATTCGGGGTGAAGACGGTAGTACCTCCGCCAGTGTTGGGAAATTAGGGAAAACTGGCAGTTTTCCCAAACTCCTGAAAATTCGGAGGCCGGGCCCGATGACGGCTGCCAGTGATAAATCTGATCGTCGGCGGTCGTTTCGTTTCGGCCATCTGAAAAGGTCGGAGGCCCACCCGAGGCCCGCTATTTTCCCACACGGCAAAGGTACTATAGTGGTTTAATTTGCACAGTATGGCATTGTCTCAAAGTCAAATCTTCAATTACGAATTGAGCAGTGAAAGGGCCTTCACAATTCAGACCCCAACATAAAGGGGCTCAGTCGGCCAGATCCTGAAGTTCCGAATCAACATTTCAAAAGACGAGTCTCCTGAGGCAGAGATCGCGTCCAGACTTAAACGAAAAGTCACTTTGTGAACGTCACATCCAGGTCTTTCGCGAACAGTTCACTTGACCTGGGTAAGGGTCATGTCTGTTCAACAGATAGCTAAAGGTCGCAGGCCCAGTCAAGTCCCTATCCACAGGTCGTGTCTGAAGTCAGACCAGAAGTCCGGAAGGCAGGCCCAAAGGCCGAAGCAGCAGCCGACCACGAGACAGGTACTGAAACTCACACTTCGTAGTAACCGGCAGTGGGCATGCAGTACCAAGGAAATTCGGCCAGAGACTGGCCCAACCAAGACCAGGCCAAGACTACAAAAGACTGGCCAGCCTCCCATTTCGTCAGATGTTCACGAGAGTGTGGAAGTGCTAGTGCACTTCTGCACTAGATGTGAGGAGCTGTGCTATGCGAGAGAGCAGCGCCAAGTGAGAGAGAGAGAGAGAGAGAGAGGAAGGAGGGCGCTGGCAGGGGAGAAGGCAAGACCAGGCCAAGACTACAAAAGACTGGCCAGCCTCCCATTTCGGCAGATG